CTCCTAGAAGTTGTAGTCATGGTAACCAGTAAATTTCTTTCTCTAAATCTACTGAGATATTTTCTTTCCTTCTTTCTCCCTTCCTTGGCTAAAAGAAGCCTATAAGAAGTGTCTATATATCTGTGGAGTATTTTAATCTATCTATCCATCATCTATCATTATCTATCTATATAATCTAATCTATCTATTTATTTTTTGAGACAGAGTCTCCCTTTGTTGCCCTGGATAGAGTGCCATGGCATCATAGCTCACAGCAACCTCAAACTCTTGGGCTCAAGCGATCCCCTTGCCTCAGCCTCCCTAGTAGCTGGGACTACAGGCACTCACCACAATGCTTGCTAGTTTTTTTCTATTTTTAGTAGAGATGAGGTCTTGCTCTTACTCAGGGTGGTCTCAAACTCCTAAGCTCAGTCAATCCACTCACCTTGGCCTTCCAGAGTGCTAGGATTACAGGTGTGAGCCATTGTGCCCAGCCTTGTGCAGTATTTTATATATTGTTTCTTTCTCTCCCCTTCCTTCCTCTTTTTGCTGAAAGAATCCTAAGTACTATTAAAAACCATCTGCATATTCACCCACAGCTTGGAGCTAAAGATGACTTAAACTTGGTAAAAGGTAACTTGAGATGCTATTTATGTAAAGAAACAAAAGCCCTCTGTTATTATTCCTGCATGCAGGTCAGGCACCACAGCATTTGGTTATAAAAATCTAAGGACCATGTGTTTTCCTAATTCTCCTGGCACAGGGACTTAGTTATGTCACTGCTGCCAATGGTGTTGATTGAAGGACACTGCCTGCTTGAGCTCAGAGCAGCTCAAGACCAGCCTAAGCAAGAGTGAGATCCTGGCTCTACTACAAGTAGGAAAAATAGCCGGGTGTTGTGGAGGGTGGCTGTAGTCCCAGCTACTCAGGAGGCTGAGGCAAGAGAATCGCTTGTGATCACTGTGAGCTGTGATGCCACCGTACTCTACTGAGGGTGAGAAAGTGAGACTCCACCTCAAAAAAACAAGGGCTGCTAATGAATTGTTTTGATTAATTTTCTATTTAGTTTTGGAAGAAAAAGTCAATCACAGAGTTTCAGTTGAAAAGGAATGAGGAGATATTTCACCCCAAACTCTCATTGTCTTTTGGGTGAGGAAATATAGTTATAGAAATATAAAATGTAAATCAGGCGTCCTCAAACTACGACCCGTGGGCCACATGCACCCCGCCAAGGACATTTATCCAGCACACCATGTGTTTTTGCTGCTGCTGCCTGTCCTGCTTAGCAGCTGACTCATCCCGGGACCCACAGTCCAGCCCTCTAACAGTCTGAGGGACAGTGAACTGCCCCCCTGTTTGAAAAGTTTGAGGACCGCTGATGTAAATGGTGGATAAAATGCAACAGTGTGAACTGCTTTGGGGAACCACAGAGCAGGAGGAAGCTGAGCTGTTCTTTCAGCTCACCTGAATCCCCTCTTTTCCTCTCTTGGGTCTCTTCCATGGCCATATCCCGGGATGCACAAATAATTTTGGAATTACATGTTCTTTTAATTTGTGTGTATATTACTTATTTTTATTAATGATGGTTTATCTGTTTGCCATTCAACTTTCCTGGCACACTGGTACAGGGACTACATAAAATGTCAATATTTTATTATTGCTCCATTAATGCTAATAAAAAAAGATAATGTCATGCACTTTTTTTTTTCTTTTTTGGCAGAGGGGAAAGAGACAGTGGAACCCTTAGCAACAAATCAGACAGTGGGGCAGGAGAATTTGCAACGGTTCCTCTGGCCTCCTACAAAGGCTCATCTCTCTCTTAACCTTCTTGATTCTTAAGGAAGGCTGTTTTTCTGGCCCTGTACTCACTCTGCTTGGGGTGACCAACACCACAAAGCAGGACAGGAAATGTCCACAGTGCCCGTGACTCTGTCAGTGTTCCCCAGATGTTAACAGATGTTGCCCATATACAATTTTAATACAGACTTTTTTTTTTTTTTGCAGTTTTTGGCCAGGGCTGGGTTTGAACCCACAACCTCTGGCATATGGGGCTGGTGCCCTACTCCTTTGAGCCACAGGTGCCGCCCTAATACAGACTTTTTAAGTAAACTAAAGAACGCTGAGTGAGACAAGTCAACATTTCACTGTATTAGAAACTTTCTAGAGACAAAATTTGCCTTTACTCATTAATATTAATAATTCTCTGAAGTTTCTATGACGTGACAGCAATATCATTGGTGACTGAGAGCATGATTTCAGACAAGAGAACCACTTCTGAATTTTTTAAACTGTTTTTTTACAATTAAAATTATACATGATACAAAATGCTTGTTTTACAAGTTGAGATCGTTACAGTTATGGGTACGGTTACAGTAATGCATAAATAGTAGTGCATTCACGTAGAGCTGTTATCTATCTTCATCAGGCTTTACATAAAGCCAAGAATGAATTATTTGCTTAAATTGCTTTCTAGTCTTTGAATAATAAAAAAAAAAAAAAGAAAAATTACTTCTACTCCTGTCTATGTCAGGACAATAAACAGTGCCAACAATTAAGTAGTCTGGTATTTCTGTAAAGGGGAGGTTGTATTCCAATAGCTCTTAAGTTGCAAACCCTAAGGTTTTGGCTAAGTATGTCTATCAAATAATCATTATCTCAAGTTTCAGGAAAATTACCTCATCTTTGGTAGCAGACTGCCAACAAACAGAAACTATAGACTACACCATTTTTTCCACAGAATCCTGTATTTTAATGAATAGCTGAATAAATAGACATTAATTATGAAATTCACATTAGAGAGAAGAAAATCCAGACATTCTGATTGCTTTATCTTTTGAATTGGATAACTACTACAAAACATACTATTTATGTTAGGGTAAAAATAAGCTGAATCACAGGAGTGTAACTGGAGTGCTGGAGATATACAGTGACATGGAGGACCTATGGGATACAAGTGTTTCTATGTACATCATTTTTTCTTTCTTTTCTTTTTTTTTGCATGGATAAACGCTGTTTTATAAAATGGGAAAAACGGAAAAACACACAGTAGACCACATGCAGCAAGGACCAACCCAATGTGCACAGCAGAATAATCAAAGAAAACAACAAGTATGGTTTAAAAGATAATCTGGGAGCAGGAAGAAAGAGGAGAGAGAATGACTGAAACCTGGAATGCTTTCTTATTGAGGTTTCTGCATATAAATTTGTCTGACAAGCCTCTGGACAGTTTCTCAAAGTTCCCACTCGACCACTTATGGTTTAAGTGTAGAGCTAAAAATAAACCATCATATTATACAAAACTTTGTATATTAGCATACAAAAGGTAGCAATTTACTTTTTGTATAAAATATAACCTTTTGATAGTATATTTATTTCACATATGTATAAATATAACCCAAAGAATATGTTTTATGTATTTCTACCAAAATATTCTTTACAAAAGTTTACAAAACAAGTCATTTATTTATATTTACAACCTAGCACAGAAAAGATTCTGGGCCAGGGATGATGGTGGTGTGTAAAAGCAGGAGGATGCTTCTAGACGGCTTAACGATTGGGAGAGAGCTTTGTAAGACTTTCAGAATGTGTTCTCTTTTTGAGAAGACCTGATTATTAAATGACTTCAGTTAAATTACATCTGATATTTGGATATGTGAGTGTGTAACTGACAGACTGAAGACAATCTTTGCTCCTCTATAAAAAACGAGAGTGACGCCTTTCATCCATCCATATTAGCACACTTCTTCCCAATTTTACAGCTCATCTGTATGTGGGCACTGAAGTTAAAAGACTCAACAAAAACTCTTTCTGTGCTACAGTGCTCAGCCCTAGGGGGGAAATCTGGATATGAAGAGTCTGTCTAGCATGTGGCGGTGATGCAGCATGCCAGAGAGAGAAGCTTGAAAAGACGGCTGCTAACAGACCCCGTTCTATTCTGCTGTTCACCCAAATCCAAATCATATGTCTGAAGAAGGCCAGATTGCTTTCTCTTAATTATGCTTTCCTTCAAACCCTATGAAGTAAATTTGCAACCACTTGAACCTGCCACTCCTGCTTCTTATCTCCAACCACAACACGATACCCTCTAATCACAGATTTGGTTCCCAAATTTCCTTTCCTTACAAATCAGTCTCAAAACAAGTAGTCAAGAAAAGACTCAGTTTTCCTCAGCTTGGGAACAAACCAGTGGGTATCAATCACAATAAGTAACACTCCACATTATCTGTGGCCAAATAAATCTTCTTTATAAAATCCCCATGGATTTTTCAGTGTGATTAGGACGGGTCTTGGTTGTATCTAAAATGGCTTGGAAATGGACTCAGAAATTGGCTGTGGAAGCCAGAATCAAATTGCACAATTCTATATTATTATTTTATCACTAGACAGGGCATCCCACTGAAGTACGGGGTTTGTGGGAAACTGCAGCGGTGAGGGATGAATCTAGGGAGGAAATTCTATAACCTGCTGGCCGTTTACTGAGTTCTCTGGCTGTCCCTTACATAGGATGCTGTTCAGTTACTCCAAACAGACCTATGACGTTTCAACCTATTCTGCAAGATTAGAAAAATTAAACAAAAAGACAGAATGGAAAGATCAAACCACAGATGTCTATTACAGCAAATTAGAGAATTTGTTGCTTGGAACTAGTACCTCCTCGTGATGTGAGGTTTAAATAAGCTACAAGTCCTATTACCTTTCTTTCAGGGAGTAAAGGATCTTAGGAAGTCTATTCCACACAGTTAATTACACAGCAACATCAGAGTTCTGTTTGGGTAAATCGGATACTGTGTTCTGGAGTTAAGACAGGGAAAAGTGAGCCCAATGTATTACTATCAGGTTTGAGATTTAAAATAAGAATTTGGATCAAAATGTTCACCACTGCAGTTATTTTCTGCTTTACATTTTTAAGCCATGTGTCTTCCTGTAGGCCACTTAAAAGTCGACCGTTTGACCTTTACAGAGTCCTTGTAAAATACTGCCTTTTAGTGCTTAGACTTTGTAAATTGCCTCATCTTTCTCCTTCAGGAGTTGTTTCCCAAGATTTCATCGAGATTGATGTCTTTCATCCAGTCATCATTACCAGGCTCTGTCTTCAACAATGAATCAATGAAGTCAGCATCGCTGTTTAAGGCAGGGCCCATGTTGTCAGTCTGTTGGCTGAGGAAGTCAAAAGCTAGATCACTGCCATGGTCGGGTCCTTGGAAAGCCCTGGAACTTTGGTTGGATGTGGGAAAATTGTTGGGTGTCAGGGCTGGTGGCTGGTTTATGCCTGTCCTCGACTGATTCAACCCCGTTCCTGACTGATTCAAATTAGGCAATATCTGTGTGCTCAGCTGACTGGATCTCAGATTTAGGCCCCTGAGCGGACCCACGGCTTGTCCATTTAGTGTCTGGCTCATTTGGTTCATGGGTCTCATTTGCGCTGCTGGTGTTAACTGGCTAGGAGGTGCCACTGCCCTCTGGGGAAACTGCTGGCTGCCTACTGCCTGCTGTAATGACTGGTTGGGGGTGTAGGCTGTAGGAGCCCCTGTGGGGAAGCGGACTCCTGTAGACTTGAGGGCTTCTGGCTGTTTGGATGTCGCTTCTTGAGAGGCCCAGCCGGGGGCTGTGGTGTTGGGTGTGATCATCACGTTCGATGTTCTCTGTGCTGGCACACTTGCCATACTGTGGGCTAAGTTTGGTCTCACTTGTGAATTGCCAACAGTTCCGGCTCCAAAAGTGTTGTTATTACTTGGCCCTAAGGTAGGTGGCCGTGGCATCAGAGGGTTGCTTTGATTTGCTATCAATTGATTTGGGTTTCTCTGCTGGGTCAGTTGATTCATTCCTGAAGAGACACTGTATGTGCCAGGTTGATTACAAGGAAGACTTCCATACATCCCTATGCTCTGAACTGCTGTGGATAATGATGGCATTCTTGGCCCGTGGGAAGTAGACATGAGGCTAGAATTGGGAGTTAAAATGGTGTGTGTTGAAACGGGGTTTGTCAAAGCCTGGTTAGAGTTTAGACTTGCTGATGATGAGCCACCTAAGAGAAAGAAGAAAATTTCAGAGAAATATATTAGTTCCTCACAGTATGTCACTTGCTCTTCTATAGCACTTTGCAAGAACTTACCAACTCTGAAGCTGCTTTCAGGGGTAGAACAATTTAAGAGCAATAATCATCAAATATATTATATAAAAGGAACAAGACAGCTTCTGGGAGAAAGTGTCACCCTAGGTGACTCCTTGGTTTCAAGAGTTTATGTGTTACAGAAAGGAGACTAAAATAGGGTATATTTTATAGGTTTTGCTTTATTCTTTTTCTGGAGTCATTAAGGTGAGGTGATAGTTGAGAGTACAACTCTGATTAGCTATCTGAGCAGACAAAGAAAAAGCTGGACATTCACCTTGAGTTTGTATAATATTTCAAAGCCCACCCATAGACCACGGTATAAGCCATGTTTCAAATACAGTATGTACCAGTTAACAATGTTTGGACAGCATATACAATGGTGGGGCTGAAAAATTCCTAGCACTTGGAATTCACTCTACTTTTCTCATTATTTTAGAGTAGCGGTTCTCAACCTGTGGGTCACAACCCCTTTGTAACAATGAAAATAAATCACGGCATTAGGAAGGTTGAGAACCACTGTTTTAGGGTGTATTCTTTCTATTCATAAAAACAAGTTAACTGTAAAACAGCCCCAGGCAACTCCTTCAGGAGCTATTCTAGGAGGCAGCATTGCTATCATGGGAGATGACATTTCCATGACTTTATTGCCACTAAAGACCTTCTGCTGGGACCACATCTGGAGGTGGTGGAGATTGATAGATCATACTAACTCTGTGTGGGCCTAGGCTGCTACCATGTGTGTTTGTCTCTTAGTTTTCAATGAAAAAGTTTAAAAAGTAAAAGAAAAAAAGATTCTTTAAAAAGCCATATTGAAATAATCCAGACACAGAAAGATAAATATCATTTTTTCCTCATTCATAGCTAAATAAGTTGAAGTAGAGAGTAGAATTGTGGTTATTAGATGTGGGGGATCCTTGGGGTGAAGTAGCTAGAGAAAGCTTGGTTAATGGATGCACAATTACAGCTGATAGGAAGAATATGTTCTAGTGTTCTAAAGCACTGTAGAGTGACTGCAGTTTTTTTTTTTTTTGAGGCAGAGTCTCATGATGTTGCCCTCTGTAGAGTACTGTGCCATCACAGCTCACAGCAACCTCCAACTCTTGGGCTTAAGCGATTCTCTTGCCTCAGCCTCCCCAGCAGCTGGGACTATAGGCGCCCACCACAATGCCCAGCTATTTTTTGGTTGCAGTTGTCATTGGCATTTAGCAGGCCAGGGCTTGGCTTGAACCTACCACCTTCAGTGTATGTAACTAGTGCCCTACTCAGTGAGCTATGGGCGCTGAGCCTAGAGTGACTATAGTTTAATTTTTTTTTTTTTTTTTTGACACAGAATCTCACTCTGTTACCCATCTAGAGGGTAATGGCATCATCACAGCTCACAGCAACTTCAAACTCCTGGGCTCAAGCAATTCTTCTGCCTCCCAAGTAGCTGTACTATAGGCACCCACCACACCTGGCTAAGTTTTCTATTTTTAGTAGAGATGGGGTCTTATTCTTATTCTTGAATGGCTTTTCTTGCTCAGCGAAACGGAAGTGAGTAAAAGATCCTAAGAAATACAATACAGTCAAATATGAGATGGGGAAAGGAGAAAATAAATATTTAAAAATTGAACAGTTTTCCTTTTTTCACAGTTATAATTTTTATGACTTTTAAAGAACTCTTACCAGAATACTGAGCAGCTGGTTGCATACTGCCCACATTTCTTCTTTGGTCTTTATAATCTGGGGGTGGCCTTGTCAGATGTCGGTTTATTTGATCTTGTGAAGCAATTTTCTCCTTGAAAACACAAATGAAAAGATATTAAATTGTATTGTTACTTTTTCACTTGTAAAAATTTATGTAATATTATTCCAAAATAAGAATATTAGAACAATTTTGCAGGCATGGATTATGAATCATGACTTTATTTATTAGTCTTAATTTAGAGACACAGCTTTGCAATTTTAATAAACTTCCCTACATGGAAGTATAACTTCTACTTCTCAACAACACTGGATCTCGTAGCTACTCTCATATCCTTTATCTTGCAATTATATATCTTTCTTCTTTTTTTTTTTTTTTAGACAGAGTCTCATTCTTTCACCCTGGTGTCATCCCAGCTCACAGCAACCTCAAACTCTTAGGCTCAAGGGATCTTCTTGCCTTAGCTTCCCTAGTAGCTGGGACTACAGGTGCCCGCCATAATTCCCAGCTACTTTTTCCATTTTTAGTAGAGATGAGGGCCCACTCTTGCTTAGGCTGGTCTAGAACTCCTGAGCTCAAGCAATCCTCTTGCTTTGGCTTTCCATAGTGTTAGGATTAAGGATGTGAGCCACCGTGCCTGGTCTGCAATTATATTGCAGTGAGAAGTAAACTTCTGTGATTTTTGAGATGGTATTTCTATTTTTGTACTATAGCACACCTGATAGGCTTTGGTACCCATATACCCAATTTCTATTTTTTTACTATAGCACACTTGATAGGTTTTGGTACCCACACACCCAATTCTTGTCCAAAAGAAAAGACTGTGGAAAACCTAAGAGTAGGGTTGCCATATGAAATATAGAACAACTGGGAATTCTGTATATTTATTGGCTAAATGAAGGCAATCTAGATAGGATGAACTATCAGGAGATAACCTATCAGGTAAAGGTATAGGCAGCATATGCAAATTATTTCACTGTTACCCCCTCATAAACAAGGCAGGTATGGTTGTTGCCTCCTTAGCTGTACAGAAGCTTTTCCGTTTAAGTCCCATTTGTTTCTTTTTGTTGTTGTTGCAATTACCATGAAGGTCTTCTTCATAAAGTCTTTCCACAGGCTGATATCTTTGTGTTTTCCCCACACTTTCTTTGAGCATTAGATGTAGGTCTTTTATCCATCTTGAATAAATTTTTGTGAGTGGAGAAAGGTGCAGGTCCAGTATCAGTTATTTTACATGTGGTTATCCAGTTCTCCCAGCACCATTTATTGAATAGGAATTCCTTTCTCCAGTGTGTGTTCTTGTTTGGTTTATCAAAGACTAGGTGACTGTAAGATGTCAGTTTCATTTCATGGTTTTCTATTAGGGTCCAGATGTCTATGTCTCCATTTTTGTGCCAATACCATACTGTTTTGATCACTATGGCCCTTTAGTACAGCCTAAAGTCTGGTAGGCTGATGCCCCTGGCTTTGTTTTTATTGCTAAGAATTGTCTTACCTATACAGGCTTTTTCTGGTTCCATACAGAATGAAGAATTATTTTTTCAAAATCTTGAAAGAATGATGTTGGTATTTTAATGGGGATGGCATTGAATCTATAGATTGTTTTGGGAAGTATAGACATTTAACAATGTTGATTCTTTCCAGCCATGAGCATGGTATGTTCTTCCATTTGTTAATATCTTCTGCTATTTCTTTTCTTAGGGTTTCATAATTTCTTTATAGAGGTCCTTCACCTCTTTTGTTAGGTATATTCCTAGGTACTTCATTTTCTTTGAGGCTACTGCGAAGGGGATTGTGTCCTTAATTAGCTTCTCATCCTGGCTCTTATTGGCATATACAAAGGCTACTGACTTGTGGACATTGATTTTATATCCTGAGACATTGCTGTATTTTTTGATCTCTTCCAGGAGTCTTATGATTGAGTCTTTGGGGTTCTCTAAGTATAAGATCATATCATCAGCAAAGAGCGGGAGTTTGACATCCTCTACTCCCATTTGGATGCTCTTTATTTACTTCTCTTGCCTGATTGTATTGGCTAGAACTTCAATCGACAACCTACACAATGGGAGAGGATATTTGCATATCATGTATCAGACAAAAGCTTAATAACTAGGATCTACAGAGAACTCAAATTAATCAATATAAGAAGAGCCAACAATCCCTTATATCACTGTACAAGAGAAATGAATAGAACCTTCTCTAAAGAAGATAGACAAATGGGTAATAAGTATATGGAAAAATTCTCATCATCCCTAATTATCAGAGAAATGCAAATCAAACCCCCCCTGAGGTATCACCTAACCTAAGTAAGAATGGCCCACATCACAAAATCTCAAAACTGCAGATGCTGGTGTGGGCGTGGAGAGAAGGGAACACTCCTACATTGCTGGTGGGACTGCAAACTAATACAATCATTTTGGAAGGAAGTATGGAAACACTCAAAGAACTCAAAGTAGACCTCCCATTTGATCCTGCAATCCTCATTATTGAACATCTACCCAGAAGAAAAAAAAATCCTTTTATTATAAGGACATTTGCACTAGACTATTTATTGCAGCTCAATTTACAATTGCCAAACAGTGGAAACAGCCTTAATGCCCACCAACCCAGGAATGGATTAACAAGTTGTGGTGTATGTATACCATGGAATACTATTCAGCCACTAAAAACGATGGAGACTTTACATCTTTTGTATTAACCTGGATAGAAGTGGAACACATTATTCTTAGTAAAACATCATAAGAATGGAGAAGCAAGAATCCTATGCACTCAATTCTGATCTGAGGACAGTTGATGACCTAGTACACATTGGGGGATGGAGAACGGAGGGTGTAGGGAGAGGGAAGAAGGGAGGAGGTCGAGGGTCAGGGGGTGTGACACAGTTATAAGAGGGACTTTACCTAACAAATGCAATCAGTGTAACCTGGTTCTTTGTACCCTCAATGAATCCCCAGAATAAAAAATAAATGAATAAATAAGCAAACAAGATAGGTATGATTACACTCCCTTAAAAGATGAGGGAATGGAAGTTTTTAGGCTGAGTAACCTGCTCAAAGTCACACAGTGGTAGAACAGAGACAGAATCCTGAGTCAAACTCAGGCTCTTCCCTACAACACAGTACAAGGGCCCCTTGGTCTTCTGTTTCTCAGAGCCCCATTCTAAAAGCACAGACATTTCTTAGGCTCCCTTCTTTTCTTCCCTCTGGAATCAGCCAGATTTTTAGAAGAGGTGAGTGTGAGAGATAAAAGAGGAAAAGGAAACATTTTTCTAGTATTGTCAGTGTCCTTAGCCAAAACCACCAGGAACAACGAGTTGGATGTTCATTCACTGCATCAAGGGAGAACTCAATTACGGGGGGCCACAAGGTCCCCAGCAGGAGGATGAAACTATGATAGGGTTTGGACTTTGATTTGGTGATTTAGGGAGGGTCTAAGGAAACAAGGATTTGTTCTAGATTGGAAGCTATCAGAAAGTGAGGTTCATTCTATAGTGAGTAAAGTAGCTATCGCTCACTTTGCTCAAGAGAGAGGGGTGTTTGGCACTTTCGGAGCTGCACAGTGTGACTTTTGTCCATCTTTAAAACAAAATTATGAAGTGGCTTTATTTTGTCTCATTCTACCACAGACTCAGTGTAACCGTGTCTGAGGTTAATGCTCTACAAGACTGTTCATGTCCAGCAGAGACTAAGATGGCTTGGCGAGATCTTATCAGTTCTGAACATCAAGGCCTACTTTTTTTCTTGCTCACTACGGATCAGGACGTTTTAAAAACTGGTCACTGCAATTTTCCACGTGTTTCAAAGAAACCTCAAAGATAAAAAATGGTTGGCATAGGTAGAGAGAGAACACTATAATTATGGAAGAGTCAATATAGAAAACTTTTAATAGCTATGTGGGTAAATTAGTTGGAAACCAAGTGTGCACTAACCTAGAACTCACTTAAACCATGCGTTTCTCAGTTCCCCATCAAATTCCAAACCTTCTTCTTAGTAGAATAAGTCTACTATAAAGTAGGAAAGAAAGCCTTAAAATAACAATAAACCAATTTTGAATTTGTGTTGCCAACAACAAACTTGAGACTCAGTTTTTTAAGATTCATATAAAACACAATTTTGATGAGCTAAGTGTAAATGAAAAAGAAACATATGGATTATATTTCTTTTAAGAACAGGTTTACAAATTAAGGGGAAAGTGGCTAGTGAAACTCTTTACATTTTGCTTAAACCCTGAATGTTTAAGAAACAGCTTGAGATGTTCCATAAACCCAAATGTGGTGATGTCCAACAGGCCTCTTGTAAACTACTGTGTAACAGGACAGTTTTGATTTTTATGCCAACACAAAAACTTTCTAAAATCTCCTCTTTTCCAAAAGAATCTGTCATTCTTTCTTATTAGGTATTTCTGCTGAAAATACCAAAGGCGACAGGATGTGTATGTGTGTGTGCATGAGTGTACCTGTGTGTATGTGAAAGAGAGAAAATTATGCCCTGATGCCCCTTCATAGTCTAGATTACAAACATGAATTTATTTTATGTATCTTCAATGTAATGTTGACCTTTTATCACCCTGCGAGCTAAATTGTTGTTGTTAAAAGAGTTATGAGAAGTGCAGGTGTGTGTATATATACACATACACACATATACATGTACATATATATGTATATAAAACCTGTAGGTATATATGTATCTAAAACTATCTGTTCACAAGTGAGTTAGAATTAATGACCTTGCTTAGGGACATGACATAGACCTGTCATGTTGTTACTTTGTGCTGAAGAGCAAAGATGTGACTTCAGTACTGAATGAAGACAGCTACATTTTGGAAAAGAATGACATTCCTGGCTTGGTGCCTGTGGCTCAAGTGGCTAAGGCGCCAGCCACATACACCTAAGCTGGTGGGTTCGAATCCAGCCCAGGCCTGCCAAGCAACAATGATGGCTGCAACCAAAAAATAGCCGGACATTGTGTTGGGTGCCTGTGGTCCCAGCTACTTGGGAGGTGGAGGCAGGAGACTCGCTTGAGCCCAGGAGTTGGAGGTTGCTGTGAGCTGTGATGCCACAGCACTCTACCCAGGGGGACAGCTTGAGGCTCTGT